CACTTTGTTCCGAACGAAAATAAACATCGGTTAACTTATATCTAATCCAATGTAATCTGGACCCATAACCTTTACCAATTTATAAGCTATTCCAAGCAACAGAGTTTTGTTAAATTTAGACTTTCCGAAAGTTTTCATTTAAACTGTTATTCTAGCCAGCGCGCAAAGAGAGAGAGATCCAAAACCGAGAACTCAAAGACAACTACTCCCGAAGAAGACGTACGGTAAATATAATAAAGACAAACAGCGAAAATGAAAATCGGTTAAGCCGGAAACGCTCTCACAAAGAGCCACCGAGATAGAGACAGAGCGAGCGAATCGCTTTAATTTTCAGCCGTGTCTCGCGTCTAATAATATTGAAATAGGAGCTTTTCCCTCTGTGTCTCTGGAGCAATTTCCTTTCCGTAAATGGCGGTCACAGTTTTCGCACCCCCCCACTCTGTAATTTCAAACCGAAAATTGTCAATTTGCCCTTATTGCAACAAGGCCGAAAGTAAAATATAAAGAAAATATCACTTTGGGTTTGGGAAATACGTTCACTCGCATGGCGGGCTTTTACATATAATCTCGTTATCACGAAAACGAAAACAAGAAAATACCGGGTATAAGGGAAAACGTATATCGGAGGTTCGATGCAAGGTTCCGGAAACTTTTGATCGGAGTAAATGCAGCGCATCGAATAATTTTTCTTCGAGGCAATTTGGACGATGAATGGACCATAAATGTTGAGTTATTTTGTACACAAAAAGGTTTTCTATTAATGGTTTCTCTCATCTACAATATCTCGAGTCAACATCTTACGGGCAACGTTGTAACGAGGAATTGTTGCCCACAACATTTCGAGGCTTGGTTTATTAATCTACAGATAAACTTACTGGTAACTGACCGACCTATAAGATTATAGATTACGTTTACTTGTCATGGAAAGTTGCAGGCGCGTTATTTGAACCTAAAGGAACTTGATGTAAATAATATTTGGACGATGAATGGACCATAGATGTTGATTTATCAATCAAAGGTTTTGTACACAAAAAGGTTTTCTATTAATGGTTTCTCTCATCTACAATATCTCGAGTCAACATGTTACGGGCAACGTTGTAACAAGGATTTGTTGCACACAACATTCCTCTCTCTCAAGGCTTGGTTTATTAATTTACAGATAAACTTACTGGTAACTGACCGACATATAAGATTATAGATTGCGTTTACCTGCCATGGAAAGTTGCAGGTGCGTTATTTGAACCTAAAGGAAGAACTTGATGGAGATAATATTTATACATTTGTCAGGAAAATGAGCAATGAAACATCATTGAAAAAAGAATTGAATTCTCTATAAGCCTGTGAATTGGTTTCTGTAGCTTTTGAAACTTCCAAGTTATAGAGCCTCAAAGTTGAAATTTAGTCGACATTTTGTCCAAAACTTCAAACTTGATTTTCTCAAAAACTATAAATGCTAGCGACTTCAGTCAAATACCATCTGAAAGCCCTTATTTTAAGCTACAAATCCTGGAAATTTTATCCCAGTATCTCTTTTGGTTACCAAGATACTGAGATTTGAAGATTTGGAAATGAAAATCCAAAGCCTTAGAAAATAGAGCAAAAAATTGAAAATTTTTATTTTTGGATTTTTCTCAATTTTGACTTTTTAAATGGATAGAGCGAGTCCAAATTAGTCAGAAACAAGTCTTACATCAATTAGATTTCCAAAAATTCGATGAGAAAAAAAATCCAGAAGGAAATCTCATTTTTGGCTCTGATATTTTTTTAATTCTTGACATGCTCATGAATAATGGCTCATATCTTTGATGACATTTAAGAAAATTGCCTACAATTATACATCATTGGAAAGAGAATTAAATTCTCTATAAGCCTGTACCAAATTGGTTTTTGTGGCTTGTGAAATATCCAAGTTATAGAGGCTCAAAGTTGAAATTTAGTCGACATTTTGTCCAAAATTTCAAACTTGATTTTCTCAAAAACTATAAATGCTAGCGACTTCAGTCAAATACCATCTGAAAGCCCTTGTTTTAGGCTACAAATTCTCGAAATTTTATCCCAGTATCTCTTTTGGTTACCAAGATACTGAGATTTGAAGATTTGGAAATGAAAATGCAAAGCCTTAGAAAATAGAGCAAAAAATTGAAAATTTTTATTTTTGGATTTTTCTCAATTTTGACTTTTTAAATGGATAAAGCGAGTCCAAGTTAGTCAGAAACAAGTCTAACATCAATTAGATTTCCAAAAACTCGATGAAAAAAAAAAATCCATAGGAAATCTCATTTTTGGCTCTAGACATTTTTTGAATTCTTGACATGCTCATGAATAATGGCTCATATCTTTGACGACATTTGAGAAAATTGCCTAAAATTATACATCATTAAAAAGAGAATTAAATTCTCTATGAGCTATGCAAATTTGGTTTTTGTAACTTGTGAAATTTCCAAATTATAGAGCCTTAAAGTTGAAATTTAGTCGACATTTTGTCCAAAACTTCAAAGTCGATTTTCTCAAAAACTATAAACGCTAGCGATGTCAACTAAATACCATTATGAAGCCCTTATCAAGAGCTACAAATCCTGAAAATTTTGTCCCAGTATCGCTTTTGGTTTCCAAGATACTGAGGTTTGAAGATTTTGAAAAGAAAATCTAAAGGGGTTACCCTTAGGAAATAGAGCAAAAAATTGAAAATTTTTATTTTTGGATTTTTCTCAATTTTGACTTTTTAAATGGATAGAGCGAATCCAAATTAGTCAGAAACAAGTCTTACATCAATTAGATTTCCAGAAATTCGATGAGAAAAAAAATCCAGAATAAAATCTCATTTTGGCTCTGATATTTTTTGAATTCTTGACATGCTCATGAATAATGGCTCATATCTTCGATGACGAGAAACCTGCCTACAACTATACATCATTGGAAAGAGAATTAAATTCTCTATAAGCCTGTACCAAATTAGTTTTTGTGGCTTGTGAAATATCTAAGTTATAGAGCCTCAAAGTTGAAATTTAGTCGACATTTTGTCCAAAACTTCAAACTTGATTTTCTCAAAAATTATAAATACTACCGACTTCAGTCAAATACCATCTGAAAGCCCTTATTTTAAGCTACAAATCCTGCAAATTGTATCCCAGTATCGCTTTTGGTTACCAAGATACTGAGGTTTGAAGATTTGGAAATGAAAATCTAAAGGAAATAGAGCAAAAAATTGAAAATTTTTATTTTTGGATTTTTCTCATTTTTGACTCTACAAATGGATAGAGCAATACCAAATTAGTCAGAAACAACTTTAACACCAATAAGATTTGCAAAAATTCGATAAGAAAGGAAATCTCATGAATTTTTGACATGCTCATGAATAATGGCTCAGATCTTTGATGACATTCGACGAAATTGCCTACAATTATACATCATTGAAAAGAGATTTAAATTCTCTATAAGCTCGTGCAAATTTGGTTTTTGTAGCTTGTAAAGTTTCCAAGTTATAAAGCCTCAAAGTCGACATTTTGTCCAAAATTTCAAACTTGATTTTCTCAAAAATCATACATGCTAGCGAATTCAACCAAATACTATCTGAAAGCCCATATCAAGAGGTACCATCCTTGAAAATGTTATTCCAGTACCGCTTTTGGTTACCAATGAATGATTGAAGATTTGCAAATAAAAATCGAAAGAATGTTGCTACTATAGATCCATCATTTTCTTCTCAATATTGATTCTTTATTCCAATGGAAACCTTGAAAATGGCATCAGAATTAATTTGAACCAACTATTTATTCTACCCAGGATCTCATTGAAAAGTTGCAGGTGCATTAACCAAACCTAAAGGAACTCATATCGACCAATTTTCATTAAAGCAAAGATGAAATCGAGAACTGACACACAAGTGCAAACATCTACAATCAAATTCCAAGCCAACATCATCTGATATCGATATAATATAGCGACAAGAAATTTGCTTTGTCCGCGCACCAGGAATTGTCTCTTTTAATTAGAAACCCTAGGCGTCTTTGTGCCTGCAACGAAATTTGACGTGCCGGATTCACGAATATTAAAGGCTCGGGCATTAGCAGTAGGTGACAGAATTAATTTCTAATTTGAGTTTTGGCTTTACAAGACGATATTGGTTGATGCTGAATATTACATCTTACTATTGGGACTTATTCCTCTCTTCCCGAAAACGTAATTCCCCGCAGGAATCTGCATGATTGCCGCAAGATGCCGTTCTGAATACGTTTCCGCGACTCCATTGTCATGTAAAAATTCACGCATTTTTTTGTGTGTCGGATTTCCAGGATATATACTTGTCCCTTGCGAGAGGCGACGAATTTCCCCTTAAGATTTTTCTATTGGGTAATTTTCGTTGGTGAAAAGGAGACGGAAATTACCGTCTCTTCAATTTCATATCGAGAGAGCAATTTGTTTGGATTTTACAAACCCATAGAGAGAGGTTGCGTGACGAGTGAATGAAGGTAAATCGACTTGTCAATCTTATGTGAAAAATTCTATTTAGTTACCTTTCAAAGTAACTAGTGCCCTCTTTACAAAGTTCTCGACTATAGTAAAAACATATACCTAAAGCGGCCAGTTGAGAAAAAAAATTGGATAAGTTATAGATTAGTATGATATTGTTGGATTATCTGCTTTAGGAGCACTAGGTGGAGGTGCTGCTGGAAATGTTCATATGAATATTTGCAGAAAAATTTAGATAAATCAAAATAAATTATACACCATTAAAAAATTCTCTATAAAATTGGAGAAAGTGCGTAAACTTCAATGTTAATCTCAAATATTAATATGGTGCATCAGCTTGCAGGTGGATTAAATGTTATTTCTACTAATCCACCTGCAAACTAGGCAACCTCTAATGCACTGACTATATATTCTATTGACTCGAAATTTGAAATATATACTCCTTTTTTGTCATAGACCCCCATACACACACACACAGCTAGTCAAAAACATTATTAAAGTACTATAGACTTAAAGTCAGTTTTACCAACCTTGGGAATAATAGCTCATTACGAAGCGAGGGCATGTGTGTCGAGAGGCGGTCGAGGATGCCAACAGACACACACTCACCTGAAACAAACAAAATATATTATAATTCAATAATGAAACCTTTATTTAATTTGTAAAGTATAAGCGCCAATCAAATTTCAGCTTGCACTAAGTGTATTCAAATAAGCCTTAATTACAATTAATTTGCATAAAGTACTAAAAGTTTATCTAAGCATCCTAAGGCTGAACCGAGGAATTCTTGCGGCGCACTAAATACTATCCCAGTGAAAAGTTTGTTGTCGACGAAGGGGGAAGCAGGATAATTATTATTCCTGCGTACATTTTATTTACTTTATGCTCTTAGTTTTTTTTTATTCAGGGAGAGTGTGTTTGGTCCCGGCGAGAAATTTTAATCCAGGAATGGACTTTTTTTTTCAGTAAAAAGCCAGAAGGAATATTGAATACATAGGGCATTATGTACGTAATAATAAATCTTTCATTGTCTCGTGGGAGCGGCCATTAAAACCAAGAGAAAAAAAACCGAGAGACTTTTAAAACCGCGAAATTTCTCGCATTAAAAAGATATTAAAAGTTTCCAAGTTTTCTTTTTTTGTATTCGTTTCTCCTTGGGGAGAAATGCGAGGCAAACGGGTGTCAAGTTTGAGAAGGATTTATTCTTTAGATATAGATAATAATTTATTTAACACTTCAGGTGACTGAAACATCTTTTAATTTGAATTATGGAAATCTCCCAATGGGTCAACTGATTTTGAGCAAAAAGGTGTCGACCGATTGGGAGATTATGAAGGCCTAAAAAAATCAAGAAATAAATTGGATAATTTATAGGTTGCTACATTATTGCTGGACTATCTGCTTCAGGAGCACTAGGTGGAGGTGCTGCTGGAAATGTTTATATAAATATTTGCAGAAAAATATGGACAAATCTTTGAGGTTTATATGTTGAGAGAAATTATAATGATTAACCTTTGCAAAGACTTAGTTTATTAATCTACAGATAAACTTACTGATAACTGACCGACCTATAAGATTATAGTTTAGGTTTACCTGTCATGAAAAGTTGCAGGTGCATTATTTGAACCTAAAGGAACTTGATGTAGATAATCGAATATTTATACATTTGTTGCTCATTTTGTCAAAGAACTGAGCAATTATACACCATTGAAAAGAGCATTAAATTCTCTATAAATCTGGTGGAAACTCTATGTACAGTCCAGCAGATTCTGGAAACAACAGAGACTGAAAACATATAAGCTCATGACTTCAAAGATTTTAGAGAATCATGACTCAATCCTGGTAAGTTAAAAATGTAAGAGCTGAAGTTCTGAGTAGGTACTTACTTGGGTTTCTACAGTCCACATTCTGTAAAGGACAAAGATTAATGAGATCGTGACTCAGAAATTAATACAGAATCATTATTCAATCCTGAAAAGTCAAGTCTTAAAATCCTGGAATCTCGAATGCTAGTCAAGATTCTGAAAGCTCTTCTGAAGACTTAGTTAAGCACATGATTCAAGACAAAATTCATGAGCTGTGCACAGTTTGGAATAGGAAAAATTCTGCCAAAGTGCATTTTCTCTTGTAAACCTATCTTTGCTAGTCCGAAAGCCTTCGGTCAAAAGATTTTTCCAAACGATTTTATACACAACTACTTCACTTTAGAGTCACACATATTGAAACACAATAAGGCAATCGAAAATTAAACCTTGAACGCCTACAGACCGAACAGGTCGTACCCCATCAAGACAGGTTTATTTTTTCATTCACCGCAAGTTTAATCTCAAATGAAAATCTCTATTGAGAGCCACACGAATTAATGTTTCAATGGGACTTATTTATATATGAACAGTTATAAAATTGTAATTTTCCAAAACTTTTGGGTGGGTGGTACGAACGTGACTCAAACTCTCACAAACACCAATAAATTCGCTTGCTTAAGCATACGCTATTTGCCATCTAAATTGTCGATAAATCAGCTCGACCGGTATAGTATTACTGGGCATTAAGGAAACACCGTTCGACGGGAACGATTTTAGCACCAATAATTCGCCTTCATAATGGTTTAGCATTATTGACACACACATGTATAGAATCTAGAAAACTTTCTTCGAGCAATATATAATTAGAGCGCACTAATGGAATTGCCTCTACACGTATATACGCTCCATCTCCTTGATATTAATACGCTTATGATGGGGCTTAACAGATTAAGTGCCAGAGATAGATATATATCGAGAGCCCCCTTATATGCACTAGGGGATGTGCTTATCGTCCTCGTAAAATCGAAAACTGCTTTTAGCTTGAATGGGTCTAGACCAATCGTAAATTAAGATTCAGATGAGATTTATTTTTAAAAACACTTTTTACTGTACCATAAAAACTTCTTGGCACACTGTGTGTGGCGCCGCAAGACTGTCCAAATGTCGTTCGCCTACTAATTGCAGGCGTTTCCCTTTTGTCAGATGAGTAATGGTCTTAAGAAAAACGTTAATTTGTTGCATTCCCCTAATGACTTCAGGTTTTTTTTGCCTTCTGATATATTGGCAACGGTTTCCTCTACTGGATCATGTTGAACTTGTTAATGTTAATTGGAATATTTTTTTGATTATTCATGGGTTCTTGGAACAAGATGAAATTTGATTTAATTGAGCAAAAGAAATCCTTCTTTAGTGGTTCACTAAAAATTCGCATGGGGTAAAATCCGGTCCCAATACGCTCATCAAAGTAAAGCATTAGTTAGATTCACTCACTTGGAATTCAGAAATAAAGCAAATGAGTCTCTCATGTTGACGACAGATTCTCGATACGAGACGAAAAAGCTCTTCTCTCGTCTCGTCTCGTTTTCTTTTCTCTCGTGAGCTTTGATGTATAGTAACTTGAGACGAGACGAGAGACGAAAATAAAGCTTTCAAAGAAAAAACAGCGTGCGTATGTTTTACCTCAAATCTTCAAGAATAGAGCCTCAAAGTTTCATCTCTGAGCCTCCAATAGTTTTTGAGGTAAAAATTCCAAAATAGAGGCTTGTCAATGTATTCATATTTGCCTAAACTAGAAAATTCGTTACTTTATTATTAGTAGTTTGATCAGCTCGGATTTTTTAGTATGTTTTACCTCAAACCTTCAAGAATGGAGCCTCAAAGTTTCATCTCTGAGCCCCTGATAGTTTTTGGGGTAAAAATTCCAAAATAGAGGCCTGTCAATGTATTCATTTTTACCTAATTTAGAAAATTCGTAACTTTATTATTAGTGGTTTGATCAGCTTGAATTTTCAGTATCTTTAACCTCAAACCTTCAAGAGAAGAGCCTCAAAGTTTCATCTCTTAGCCCCCAATAATTTTTGAGGTAAAAATTCCAAAATATAGGCTTGTCAATGTATTAATTTTTGCCTAATTTAGAAAATTCGTAACTTTATTAATAACGGTTTGATAGGCTTGATTTATTAGTATTTTTCACCTCAAACCTTCAAGAATAGAGCCTCAAAGTTTCATTTCTGAGCACCCGGTAGTTTTTGATATTAAAATTCCATAATAGAGGCTTGTCAATGTATTAATTTTTACCTAATTTAGAAAATTCGTAACTTTATTAATAGTGGTTTGATCAGCTTGAATTTTTAGTATGTTTTACCTCAAATCTTCAAAAATAGAGCCTCAAAGTTTCATCTCTGAACCCTCGGTAGTTTTTCAGGTAAAAATTCCAAAATAGAGGCTTGTCAATATATTAATTTTTGCCTAATTTAGAAAAATTCTAACTTTATTATTAGTGGTTTCATCAGCTTGAATTTTTAGTATGTTTTACCTCAAGTCTTCAATAATGGAGCCTCAAAGTTTCATCTCTGAGCCCCCGATAGTTTTTCAGGTAAAAAATCCAAAATAGAGGCTTGTCAATGTATTAATTTTTGCCTAATTTAGAAAATTTGGAACTTCATTATTAGCGGTTTGATCAGCTTGAATTTTTAGTATGTTTTACCTCAAACCTTCAAGAATAGAGTCTCAAAGTTTTATCTCTGAGCCCTTGATAGTTTTTGAGGCAAAAATTACAAAATAGAGGCTTGTCAATGTATTTATTTTTGCGTAATTCAGAAAATTCGTAACTTTATTATTAGTGGTTTGATCAGCTTGAATTTTTAGTATGTTTTACCTCAAACCTTCAAGAATAGAGCCTCAAAGTTTTATTTCTGCGAACCCAATAGTTTTTGAGCCTAAAATTCCAAAATAGAAGCTTGTCAATGTATTAATTTTTGCCTAATTTAGAAAATTTGTAACTTTATTATTAGCGGTTTGATCAACTTGAATTTTTAGTATGTTTTACATCAAACCTTCAAGAATAGAGCCTCAAAGTTTCATCTCTGCGAACCCAATAGTTTTTGAGCCTAAAATTCCAAAATAGAAGCTTGTCAATGTATTAATTTTTGCCTAGTTTAGAAAATTCGTAACTTTATTATTAGCGGTTTGGTCAGCTTGAATTTTTAGTATGTTTCACCTCAAACCTTCAAGAATAGAGCCTCAAAGTTTCATTTCTGAGCTCCCGATAGTTTTTGAGGTAAAAATTCCAAAATAGAGGCTTGTCAATGTATTCATTTTTGCCTAATTTAGAAAATTCGTAACTTTATTATTAGTGGTTTGATCAGCTTGAATTTTTAGTATGTTTTACCTCAAACCTTCAAGAATAGAGCCTCAAAGTTTTATCTCTGCGAACCCAATAGTTTTTGAGCCTAAAATTCCAAAATAGAAGCTTGTCAATGTATTAATTTTTGCCTAATTTAGAAAATTTGTAACTTTATTATTAGCGGTTTGATCAGCTTGAATTTTTAGTATATTTTACCTCGAATCTTCAAAAATAGAGCCTCGAACTTTCATCTCTGAGCCTCCAATAGTTTTTGAGGTAAAAAATCCAAATTAGAGGCTTGTCAATGTATTCATTTTTGCCTAATTTAGAAAATTCGTATCTTTATTATTAGCGGTTTGATTAGCTTGAATTTTTAGTATCTTTAACCTCAAAACTTCAAGAAAAGAGCATCAAAGTTTCATCTCTGAGCCCCCGATAATTTTTGAGGTAAAAATTCC